CGCATCCGCCAACTGTCGACTCCTCACACTGTAAGCACAACATCAGCCAAAGCAACCTCGGCCTACGAACGCACTCACCTTTGTAGTGCTTCAACACCCTCCAACATCCGGGAGCGTACCTGCAACACGCATAAAGGTTAGTAGACACAACAGCCGTAGGTGTCGCAAGCAGACACCAGCTGATCCATCGAGACATATAGCAATCCAAGGCGGCAGATTCACGTCCAGAAGATGATGCCCCCCCCGGCCCTCCTTTATCCCTCCTGCTACCCCGTTCCTGCATTGCAAACCCACGCACGGACGCTCCGCGTCATGGCACCCGGTCCCGCCGCGTACGTAACGCAGCCGCTCGCGTAGCATCTCGCAACACCCGGGCTACGCGCATCTCTGCCGGGGCGCTCGCATGGGCTTCGCGTGTCGCCGCAACACATTCCACCGCCGAAAAGGACATGCGTCCCTGCACGGAGAATCTACCAACGGCAGGGCGCACACGCACGCCTGTATGCGCGACGCGGGCAGTTGTCTGCCTGGAAACCCACCCGCAGGGCAGCACGCAGGCCGGTGCCGCTCCCGGGAGATCTTCGAGTCAATGCGCGGGGCGAGACTCGTGTGTCCGCCAACGGGATGTCGTGCCCGCGTGTCGTCAGCGCGCGATCTCCACCGCAAGTGTCAGCAAATGATCCCGCCCCCTGGTCCTGTCCCGAGCGAGGCGGCGGCATGACGCGGTCTGCTCGGCGGGACACGCACTCTGCATGTCGCGCCATCTGCGCTGTCTGCCTGCGGTGGGGCGAGTGTACAAGCCCGCCGCGCGCATCCCCGCCGGGGCGCTCGCCAGGACTTCTCGTGCGCCCCAACGGCGTCTTCCCTACCCGCGCACACCAGAGGTATATCCCAGCACAGAGAACCCGCCGACGGCAAAACGCGTGCGTTTCGCACGCGCGACGCGGACATTCCTCCCTGGCAACCCGTTCGCAGGGCCGGGGTCGCTCCCGGGAGAAAGATATTTACTCGATGCCTAGCACGGCATCCGCGCGTCCTGCCGCTGGACACCGTAACCGCGCGCTGCTCGCACGCGCAATGACCGCGGGCCCAGGCCCGGGCACCGCATGTCCGAACGTCCCCGCACGGCGGGGGTGCGCAACAAGAGTGCTCCTTTGCACGCATTCCCGGTCGCGAGCGAGACGGCGCCATCTGCACGGCAGAGAACGCGTGCTTTGCACGTCGCGCGGTTCGCGCAGTCTGCATGATGTGGGAGGTGCAGTGCGATGATTGCAAGCTCGCCCTCACCCTCTACGATATTGGCATGCGGCGCGCAGGATAGGAATATCCTGTGTGAACGAGAATACGCAGGCGTGTGAGCAAGATGGCGCGGCGGCTATCGGCAGCGCGAGGCGCGCCGGGGCTACCTTCTGCGGCGTTTGGACGGTGTCAAGACTGCGGGCGCGTTGGTAGCGGTCAGCAGGCGCGTTCGTCGTGGTCTGCAGGCGCGTTCGTCGCGGTCGGCACGGGGACATCTGATGACATGGTCTGACAGTGCGCCACCCCGGGGCGGCACCGGGCGACAGTCTGGCATGCGTGCAACCAAGGGCCGCCTCTGTCCTTGTTTCGACTGCTGTGTACCGACAGCACAGGCGTGCTGGTCGTCGGAATGGACGGTGCCTGTGGTGCATAGAATTGACGTTTAGGTGATCTGGTTTGCCAGAGAGCGGGAGAGGGGTTCGCGCTCAGTGCGTGAACATCTGAGGAAATGAGGCGGCGGGGCCCCACGGCGTGCCACTCTGGTCACGGCGGGCATCACAATGAGCTCGCGGGTTCCTATAATGAAGAAGAGTGCAGGATGGTGACAGGGGTAAAATCATGGCGCGTTCGTGTATCAATACCAACGGCCTGCGCTCGCACTCTTTGGTTGCGCAGGAATGTAGCGCATTGAGCAATCGAAGCGAACTCGTGCGGAATGGCAGCTTGAGACGACGCACAACAAAATGCCACGAGAGGCCGTTTGCTAACACACTGTATTAACGCCACATCACGTCCCTGCGCCATGTCTTGTGCATGGCACAAGCGATCGTCTTTCTCCGTGCGCGATCATGTTTGGCTCCTCGAGCGAATGACGAGGCCACGACGAGTCTCAAACGCGAAATGCCTGAATACCGGACGCACTGCC